CACTCATGTGTCCAGCATCTATCTAAATTTATTGGAAAAAAAGAAGGCGTTTACATAAGAAAAGAGTTCAATTCCCAAAGGATTGATTTGGAACACCAATATGGCTGCCGTGACGTCATCTGAAAACGCTCTTTTGCTCGGTCACCAAGTACTACGAATATAAATTACTGTTCAAAGCAACCCCGGATACATAACCTCAATGGGAGTACTATAGCAGGGCAATTTTCTTTATGTTTGCAATTTCAAAGTGCATTTTCTTTTCAAGTGCGATTGGAATCAGCATGTCTGGGCGTCCATATGTCTAGAGAAGTTGTTACCAATTCATGATTTTCTCGAACTATACTACTTCCACTTTTTAACACTTAATTGTCAGTGTTAAGGTAGAATTAACATAAAAAATAATATTCCTCCCATTTTGATATGCTCTTATATTTTTTTTTTGTGAATTACGTTCTTTTTATCGGAGTCATAGACAACTAAGAGACAACTAAGCTCAATAATACGTATAGAGATTCTGGAGCTTAAAATCCAGCATTTTAAATAAAACAGTCAGAAAAATTGCCCCGGAAGAATTGTAGAATTGCAAAAAGTAGAGTGTAATTTTTTATGCTAAGTAAACGACTGTCGCTAGAATCATATAAACTACCCAAAGATATTTTTGACCATTTTGAACCTAAAATATCCGAGTCTGGAACTCTAGCTTAATATTACGTCCATTAGGAATAATAATAGCAGTCACTATATATAGCCCTAATTTTTGACTTCTGAATATTCAACCGAAAATGTTTTGCAATTTTCTCTACATTGTTTTTCTTAAAATCCGACTAAAGTAAGACTGAGAATGTTGCCAAGATATTCATGTTTTGCGTTTGAATTTTTGTAATGTTGAACTTACCTGATTTAGCAAGAAAGCTGACACGGAAAATTCAACGGCGCTTGTATCAGTGTTCTTGGCGAGAAGAAACAATCTCGAGGTTTAAACTTTAATGCTAGAAAAAAACATTTTCAAAGCACACCTGTCCTTTATTGCATTGCAGACTAATTAAAAGTCCCAACCGAAAGATACAGATTAGGTAAGAAAGACCGTTGATACATGAAATGAAATATTCATGGAAGAAAAGGTAATAAATGGAGTATTTTCCTCAAACTGACATGTGCTGCTCAATACAACCAAATGGATTTGACATTAATTTTAGAATTTCTGCTGGAGTGACAAGTCTTATGTTCAAAGTTAAACAATTATTTGTTAGCCTTAATTTTGGAATAGTCAGCATCAGCTTGCCACTTTTACAGGTTGATTGCAAGTGCGCATGGCAAAACGTCTTAGTCAGTGATAAAGTCAGACCTTTTTCTGTCCATCCCTCTTGATAAATAAATTATGCAAGATATAAATGCGCAGACCGACCATTGAAGACATTGTAAATTTCGAGTCGTTGCAATACCAACAATATCAATTTGTTTCTTTAGTTTTTCACCGGTATGCGATCAAAAGAGATTGACTGCCACCAAATCAGTTCAGGCTCGTTGAAGAGTGAGCGGGCTTGTTTTGCATTTTTTACCCTCAATAAAATAATAGATAAAACGGCAAACTTTGCTATAAAAAATGAATACATTTCCGCCTACACCAATAATAAATAAAGACTTAGGATGATGAGTCATCCCCCACTGATTTAAAGTCGAATGACTGTTTTGCTAGGCGGATCATTTTAAAGTTTTAAGCAAATTCGACAACGTTTGCTTGGAAGTTGAAGTGTTGGTAGAAGATTGGAGTCAGCATTAAGAAAACACAGAAAATGTTATGTATACACTGATATAAACTCCGCTTTTATGCCAAATGAAATGGAATATGCAAAACAAGTCAACAAGTAAAACTCCATCCCAGCCGCAGCGGCTATATTTTTCGCAAAAGAATGCCGAAATGCGGACGTAAAGGAATCGAGTTGAAGCGTTCAATTTTTAAGACAAGAATCAACTTGTTAGCATCTATTTTCTTTCTGTTTGATTATTTATGAGGTAAAGTGTTTTAGGACTGTTTAACTGAAGAACGTTCTGCTCATGTACCTACATCACAGAATAAAACAGCAGCCAAGAATTTCACTTTGTTGGTAAACATTCAATTCTTCTTATGATTAATCGCGGCTAGATGTCTTGACTTTTATGTTCGAAACATTATCTTCGCCTTCGAGTCCTTCGGAACCTACCTTTTCTTATGACCAAAGTTTTTACCTGCTCGAGCCATCCCTTCACTGACTGAATCACGGCGAATCTTCGCATTCTAAGTTGTTTGCCCTTTGGAAGCCGTCTTATTAGCCGACACATCAAGAACTGTATAGTCAATTTTGTCAACCATTCAAGTGTTTCCACCTGGCTTCACATACTATTTGCTAAGAAAGCACTTATTCGTAGCCAGGTTTTAAATTTCCAAGCAAGCTATCGATTCATCAACTTTTGTCTCACACAAGTTAAATTAAAGGAGGCGGTATATATAATTTTTTCGCCTAATGATATGAGCCACATTGTATTCCGCGCACCTTCCTGTTAAGTTTAATCTCTCCTCTGTCGCCGTTTTTGACAACACGTTATACCCCCCGTCAGGTGTGGAGGAAGAAGTTTAGGCGGGTCACAGCAGTTTGCGGAATCATTCGAACGCTTTTTCTGTGGTATTACCTCCTCCACGGAGGTCCCTAGCAGTAGACAAAAATACGTTTGCAAAAAAAAAAAAAAAAAAAAAAAAAAAAAAAAAGGATAAAAATGATAAAAAAGTTTTTTTTTTTTTTTTTATTTTTTTAAAGGGGAAAAAAAGGGAAAAAGAAAGGGGCACGGAGAGGGGGGGTGGGCGTGTGTTTTCTGTCTCCCGCGCCGCGCCTCCCGCCCCCCCCGACGCCA